TAGTAGTAGTAGTAGTAGTAGTAGTAGTAGTTGTAGTAGTAGTAGTAGTAGTAGTAGTAGTAGTAGTAGTAGGGTCACCCGTCGTCTATGGCCGGCTTGTTTATGGCCGGTAGTTTGGTTGGATTTCTATACAGGTGTAGGAGACCCCGATATAGACTACGCGTCCTTCACACTTGACTTATGGCCGGCACGCTGTGAGGAAGCTTAAGGAATTGTCGAGGAATCCTCAGGAATTCTCCAGGAAACCTAAAGAATTCCCGTGGAATCCTAAGGGATTCTCCAGGAAACCTAAGGAATTCCGGAGGAATCCCGAGGAATTCATCCGGAATCCTAAAGAATCCTTGAGGAGTCCTGAGGGATTCTCCAGGAATCCCAAGGAAATCTCTTGGAATCCCAAGGAATTCTTTAGGAATGCCAAGGAAACCTGCAGGAAACCTAAGGATTGTTCCAGGAAGCTTCCAGGAATCCGAAGGAATCCTAGGGAGTCCTGAAGGAGTCTTAAGGAAATCCTTAGGAATCCTTCGGAATCCCTGCGGAATCCCAGGGAAGCCTCCTAAGGAATTCTCAAGAATCTTAAGCCAATCTCCAGGAATCCCAAGGAATTCTTCAGGAATCCTAAGGAATGCCAAAGGAATCCTTAGGAATTCTCTAGGAATCCCAAGGAATTCAGCAGGAATCCTAAGGAATCGCGGAGGATTCCGAAGGAATCTAGGAGGAATCTTGGTTTCGAGTAGAAAAGTAATTAAAACCATTGCCTCCCAATAGAAACTAATGAACAACTATTGGTATCCAATAGAAAACTAGTTATACAAAAAACATTGGTTCCCAATAGCAAACTAATAAAAACCATTGGTTCCCAATAGAAAAACTAAGTAAAACAATTGGTCCCCAACAGAAAACAAATTAAAACCATTGGTTCCCAATAGAAAACTAATTAAAACCATAGGTGTTCAATAGAAAAGGAAGCCAAACCATTGGTTTTCAAAAGAACACTAATTAGAACAATTGGTTTCCAATAGAAAACAAAGAAACCCACACCCAAACCCAAACCCACACCCAAACCTCGCCGGCCATAAGTCGTGGTAGTAGTAGTGGTAGCAGCAGCAGCAGCAGCAGTAGTAATAGTAGTAGTAGTAGTAGTAGTAGTAGTAGTAGTAGTAGTAGTAGTAGTAGTAGTAGTCGTAGTAGTAGTCGTAGTAGTAGTAGTAGAAGTAGTAGTAGTAGTAGTAGTAGTCGTAGTCGTAGTAGTAGTACTAGTAGTAGTAGTAGTAGAAGAAGAAGAAGTCGTAGTAGTAGTAGTAGTAGTAGCAGTAGTAGTAGTAGTAGTAGTAGTAGTAGTAGTAGTGGTAGTAGTAGTAGTAGTAGTAGTAGGAGTAATAGTGGTAATAGTAGTAGTAGTAGTAGTAGTAGTAGTAGTAGTAGTAGTAGTAGTAGTAGTAGTAGTAGTAGTAGTTGTAGTAGTAGTAGTAGTAGTAGTAGTAGTAGTAGTAGTGTAGTAGTAGTAGTAGTAGTAGTAGTAGTAGTAGTAGTAGTAGTAGTAGTAGCAGTAGTAGTAGTAGTAGTAGTAGTGTAGTAGTAGTAGTAGTAGTAAGTAGTAGTAGTAGTAGTAGTAGTAGTAGTCGTAGTAGCGTAGTAGTAGTAGTAGTAGTAGTAGTAGTAGTAGTAGTAGTAGTAGTAGTAGTAGTAGTAGTAGTAGTGGTAGTAGTAGTTAGTAGTAGTAGTAGTAGTAGTAGTAGTAGTAGTAGTAGTAGTAGTAGTAGTAGTACTAGTAGTAGTAGTAGTAGTAGTAGTAGTAGTAGTAGTAGTAGTAGTAGTAGTAGTAGTAGTAGTAGTAGTAGTAGTAGTAGTAGTAGTAGTAGTAGTAGTAGTAGTAGTAGTAGTAGTAGTAGTAGTAGTAGTAGTAGTAATAGTAGTAGTGGTGGTGGTGGTAGTAGCGGTAGTCGTCGGAATAGAAGCGGCAGCAGCAGCAGTGATAGTAAGGGCCAGGAGGCGGACTGCCAGGCTGCTGTGCAAAGCTGTTGTGGGTCTCCTGCCGCAGTGGTGTTTTTTGAGATGCGAGTGGGTGGATTGCCCGATGCGGCTTCTGTGGGGCAGCGTGGACTCCCGCTGTCTCCTCTTGCCTCCGTGTCCAGCTGGAAGTCCATGGAAGAACACCATGCTATCTGCTGCAACGGGCCCCTGACAGCGCGGTGCGGATCTGGCAGACGGCTTGCCGAGGGTTGGGTGGGCGGGGTGGGTGGCCCTGCGGCGCGAGCGCGGCGCGAGCAGCGCGACCGGCCCCGTCCGCGCTCGAACGGGGACTCCGCTCGAGCAGCCAGCCGCGCCCGACGCCTGCGGGTGCCTCTCCTCGGAGGCGCAGGGCGCCCGCGCGCGCCGCGCGCCTCGCAGCGGGCCGCTTTCCCAGATGGTCCGACGTTCGGCGGCACTAGTAGGGGGCCACGTGCGAACCCTGCCCCTGCCCCCCACGATTTCTGAGGGGGAGGGTGGGGTTCACTTCGTGCGGGAGCTCCCGAGCGAAGCGAACCCCACCTCGCAGGCCTAGAGGTTGACACCAACACCAATATCGGCGGTGCTCCTCCACCGAGGAAAGAAGATACCGATCTCGGTGATGGTGGTAATATTCTGGCTTCAAGGTGACCGAAATATTACCACCGACGCCGAAATCTAGGATCCTCTCTCCCCTGTGGAGGCAGCCCCCTGTCTTGGTGCTGGTGCCTATCTCCAGGCCTCCAAGCCACCCTCCCCCTCAGAAATCGTTGGGGGGTAGGGGTAGGCTTCGCGTGCGGCCCCCCAACTAGTCACGGCCGATCCCCACGAAGCGCCGCGGGCCCTGCCTCGCACCCGCGCGCGCTTCCCGCGCGCCCCGCCCCCTGCCGCTCCCCGGGCGCGCCGCCTGCCCTGCGCGGCGCCTCCGGGGGCCTTCTTGATTACCAGCCTCGAACGTATCCCTATCCCCAAGATTGACCCGCCAAAAGGCGATGACAGTCTTAGGGATTCGCCCTCAAAAGAGAAGGGAAGCCCCAGGGTTGGCATCGTGATGAGGAGGTGCCCATCATAGGGATAATTAGGGGTATGTTCCAGGCTGGTAACTTTAGGCGTTCTCGGTGGATTCGGAGTGGGGCGGTCTTGGAGCAACAGTCCTGTCGTCTCCGGTGCCGCTTCAGACTCCACTCCTGTCGAGAAGGCGAGCACGCCAGCATGGCACAGGCCCTGTTGTGTTTCCGTAGTTTTGGCTCCGGGGATCCGGGAGGCTCCCAAGAGGGCTTCACAGCCGCTCCGCGGGGCCGTCGTGGAGCATGTTGGAAGTTCGGTCCTCGGTCAATGTCACGACTCAAGCCCCAGGAACGGCCAGGGTTTCCGGAAATCCGTGGATTGAGATCCCGAAAGGACATGGAGGCAATCCACTCAGTGCTTATGGCAAGGTGGTGGATGAGATCGCGGCAATTGGGCAATACAACCGCGTGGGACAACCATTAAACAATCACACTGGACAACCGCATGGGACGGCCGCGCAGGACAGCCACGAGACAACCGCGGGCCAATCGCACGGGGGAGCCGCGCGGGACAACCTCAAGACAATTTGGGCAGGTCTGCACTGGGGACGGGGGGCGCAAACATCTGCGGTGACATGCCCTTAACCAGGGCATGGTTCATGTGCTCTGCGTGCAGCTAAGCCGATCTCCGCGGGGGGATGACGCTTCGCTCTCACCCCCAGCCTCCGATCGAATGCTGCCGCCGCGCATTTCCAGGACATTTGGGCCGGTCGCGAAAACTATGATTGGCAAGGTTCGTATGGATTGGCAGGGGATCCAGAGCAACGTCGCCTGCCGCCTTGACAGGCAGCTGGCTACCCTCCCCAGCAGGGGGGCGGATTCTGTAGGAGGTGAGGACAGGGATGAGCTGAGAAGGGCTCATTGCTTCCACCTCGTGTGCCCCTGCCCCGCTCCGTGCCCCCACATCATCCTGGATCCCGGCCCCCCTTTCCTTCCCCGAAATCCCCTTTCCTTCCCCATGCCCTCCTGCCCCCCCCCCCTCCCCTCCCTCCGCTGATTTTTCCCTTCCACTTCCCCTCCACCTCCCGCTGCACCTCATTCGTGCACCTTCCACCGCCACCCTACTCCTCCCAATAATTATGCTCTCTTGATTGCCACTCCCCCTCTGTTGGAACACACACACACAGTGTGTGTGTGTGTGTGTGTGTGTGTGTGTGTGTGTGTTTTCCCACAGTGTGTGTGTGTGTTTTCCCACAGTGTGTGTGTGTGTGTTTCTCCCACAGCGTGTGTTTTTCGTGTGTTTTTTCCCACAGGCCCCGAATATCTCCAACCCCGCGTGCACGGCCAGGCGCCCAGTCGGTCGCCGTATTCTAGCAGGAGGGTTGGCATCTCTGCCCACCCTCCCGCGATCCCCATCCAAGGCCGTGACTATCGACTCGACTGCTGCTGCGCCACTCGCTCGCTCGCTCGCCCCCCCCTCCGCCTTCTCTCGGTCGCCCGGTCGCGCCCTCTCCTCGCCAGAGCTCCGCGGCCCTGCGGTGGCACGTCGGCCTTCGAGGACGTGTGTCGGAGGCCGCGTGCGAACCCTACCGCAGATTTCGTAATAAAAGGGAGGGGGTCTCATTTCGGGGGGGGGTCTCTTCCAGGCTATCTTGGAGGGCCTGGGGGGGTCTGGGGACGATGTTTTGGAGGGTTCTCCCACCGGGGGGGTCTGAAATGGCTTGTCTTGGAGGGTCCAGTCCCCCTCCCTTTTATTACGAAATCTGGAGTACCCCTACCCCCCACGATTCTTGAGGGGGAGGGTGGGGTTCACTTCGTTCGGGAGCTCCCGAGCGAAGCGAACCCCACCCTCCCCCTCAGACATCGCGGGGGGTCAGGGGTAGGGTTCGCATGTGGCCCCCTCAGTGTGTAGGATCCCTCCGGTGGATGTCGGTGCTGTGGATGCACGGGCTGCCCGTGCTGCTGCTGCTGCTGCTGCCGCTGTTCCCTCCTGCTGCCCTTGCAGAGGATCTTGGCCATGACCATTGCGAGAGCTTCGTCGGCTACGCTGGAGGTCCCGGCCTCGGTGCTTGCAGGATCCTGCGGTCGCACGGCCAGCGATCGTGATCGTCGTGGTCGTCGATCTTGCGAACGTTCAAAATGCGATCGGCCAGGTACATGGCCGAGCTTGCGTAAGGGGAGGTGGAAGGGACGGAAGAGGAGGCGCACCAGGAGGAACAGTATAGGGTGCAGGTGGAGGACAATGAGACTGATGAGGAGGAGGAGGAGGAGGAGGAGGAGGAGGAGGAGGAGGGACAAATCGTAGAGCGTTTGTTGCTTCGGGCTAGAGGAGGAGGAGGAGGAGGAGGAGGAGGAGGAGGAGGAGGAGGAGGAGGAGGAGGAGGAGAAGCCCAAGACTAAACAATGTTGGAATACACCCTTTCTTCAAGCTCCCTCTTCATAGGACCCTGCAAGGGTTCATGTCCACTGAAGGAATTGGCCCGTTGGGGGGCAGCCGTGTGAAAATCCTGAACCGTACCAGAACGCCGTCCTCAGGACTTCAACGCTACGAGTCAACCTGGCTGCTGCGTCTTGACGATCCTGAATCATGCCAGAATGCCCTTCTTGGGACTTCAACACCGCGAACCACGTGACTGTTGCGCCCTGACAGTCCAGAATCGCTCCAAATGACAGTTTCTGATGTGTTAGTCATGAGAGCCGGTGAAACGCCTGCAAACGTAAAAAAACGAAGGCGCACGGCGCCGGGGCGAGAGCCACATGTGAAAACGAACCGCCCTCAATCCGCAAAACCCTTGCAATGGTTTTGGGAAAATGTGCTCGGCGCTACAACGAGAGCCACATGTTTTCCGTGAAGCTCTTGTTATTTCGTCCAACGAATGTGCGCAGCGCTGGGGCGAGAGCCACATTCTGAAAGCCAACCGCTCCCAATCTGTGACATTTGTGCACCGTGTTCAAGCGAATCTGCGCGTCGCTGAGGCCAGAGCCACATTTTGAAAGCCACCTGCCTTCAACCCGCGAAACTCCTTGCATCTTTCCCAAGCCTCCCCTGATTGGGTTCTCGTTTTGAATAGAACCGTGGGGTCGCCAACTCCCTTCCTCTCCGCCCCCCCGCTCTCATCTCTGCTCTCTCATCTCGCACCCCTCTTGGAAGCTCCGAAGCGTTAAACTGTCGCCACTTTTGAAGGGGCCCCGGGACACGAACAAATACACAGATAACAAGATTCCCTATCCTTTCCCATATTTTCTGTGGTTTTGCCTCCCCCCCTCCACTTCCCATATTTTCCTATGTTTTCTTGGGAGTCGACGATTCCTTGTGTCTGTGTGTCTCTTTCCCTCCCGAACTTTCGAGGGCCGCTGGGCGCGGGGCCAGCACCTGCGAGGGGGGCCCGCGCAGGCCCCCACAAGAGGTCCCCGCCACCCCCTGGGGCGGCTGCGGAGGGCGGAGCGGGCCGCAGTGTGTTTGAGGGCTGCCGGGGGGGCGCTCGGCATCGCTCGGACGTGTGCATTTTTTTCCTTCGGCGAGGGCCATCGAGGAGCATCCCTGATCATTTGGAGAGAAAAAGCCGCGCACGAAGCCGCGCAAAAAACGCAGGAAGTGGACGTCCGAGCGATGGCCAGGGCGAGCACAATTATGGGGCCCCACGCAGCCCCAAGCGGGGCAGCGCCATCCCTGGGTGGCTGCGGAGTGTGAAACTGTCGCCACTTTCGAGAGCTGCTGGGGGAGCCAGCACAGTGGGGCCCCACGCAGACCCAAAATGGGACCTCGCCACCCTTGGGTGGCTGCGGAGTGTGAAACTGTCGCCATTTTTGAGGGCTGTTGGTGGGGCCAGCACAATCATCGGTTCCCACGCAGACCCAAGCGGGACCTCGCCATCCCTTGGTGGCTGCGGAGTGTGAAACTGTCGCCTTTTTCGACGGCTGCTGGGGGAGCCAGCACAGTGGGGTCCCACGCAGACCCAAGCGGGCCCTCGCCATCCCTTGGTGGCTGTGACGTGTAAAACTATCGCCGCTTTCGAGGGCTGCTGGGGGAGCCAGCACGGTGGTTTCCCACGCAGACCTAAACGGAACCTCGCCATCCTGTTGCGAAATGTGAAATTGCCTCAGCTTTCGAGGGCTGCTAAGGGAGCCACGTTTTGAAAGCCACCCGCCCTCAATAATCCGTGAAGCTCCTGCTTCTTGCAGCGCCAGTGCGAGAGCCGCGTTCTGGGAGCGGCCTGCCCTCCCTCTGCGAAGCTGATGCCGGTTCCCCAGCCTGAGGCTGGTGACCGGTAAGGGAACTTCCGGCGAAACGCTCGGCCCGCCCGCCCGACTGGCTTCGGGGCACGGCAGGGGAGAGGCTGGTGACCGGTAAGGGAACTTCCGGCGAAACGCTCGGCCCGCCCGCCCGACTGGCTTCGGGGCACGGCAGGGGAGAGGCATCCGTGAGGAAAGGGAATGGAGGAGGAGGAGGAGGAGGAGGAGGAGGAGGAGGAGGAGGGGGAGGAGGAGGAGGGAGGAGAGGAGGAATGGAGGAGGAGGAGGAGGAGGAGGAGGAGGAGGAGGAGGATGGAGGAGGAATGGAGGAGGAGGAGGAGGAGGAGGAGGAGAAGAATCGGAGTCGGAGTCGAAACAGATGCAGAGCATCACCAGTGAACAGAGCTCAACCCTGCGTGCGAGAAGTCCACTCCGCTGCCGTGCCCCGCGCTCCGACCCCGCGGCGCGGCGAGGAGCCCTGGGAGGGGAAGGCACAGACAGGAGCACCCCACACCCCTCCTCCTCCTCCTCTCTCCTCCTCCTCCTCCTCCTCCTCCTTCCTCCCTCCTCCTCCTCCTCTCCTCCTCTCCTCCTCCTCCTCCTCTCCTCCTCCTCCTCCTCCTCCTCCTCCTTCCGTAGCCATTTTGGCTCAAGCCATTTTGGCTCAAGCCGTATCGGCTCAGGTGGTCTGCGCGACCCGCTCGGCCTGGCTCCCCCCGACCCGCTCCTCGGGTCTTCCTGTTCTCTCTCCCTCGGGCTGCGCGCGCCTCGGCCGTCGGGCGCCCGCCCTTCCCTTCCCGCCCTCCAGCCATGGCTGAGGCTGCTCGTGCTGCAGGCCCCATGAGTGGCCTGCGTGGACCGTCTCCTTCTCCTGCCCCCGCGGGGGCGGAGGGAGGGGCTGTGCCGCCGCCCGTGCCCGAGGTACAGTCGGAGGTGTCCATGCAGCTCAGCGCGTTGACGGCGATCGTGAAAGAAGGGTTTACCACACACAGCAGAGTTTGAGATGTTTCGCCAGCAGATGACAGTGATGGGGAACAACTTTGATCGGATGCAGGATGAGTTCGCAGGGATGAATCGTCGCTCGGAGGCTCGCTGGGCAGAGATAAAGAAATCCCAGGACGAAGCGATTCACCAGGTCTCGGTAGACACAGATGCGAAGTTGGCTGCAGTAGTGGCGAAGATCGATGTTCAGATGCATGAGTTACAGCAGAAGCTCTCGGCTGGTTCGTCGACTCGTGCCGATTCGGAGTTCGAGCTTGTGGGAGGTGATGGGGATGGAGGGCGTCGGAAGATGATGAGGACGTCGGGACCGGACCAAGCAAGTGCTACTCGTCTGATTGTTCTTGGTTTTGAGAGGCCCCTACTGGAAGCGTCTCTCAAGGAAGCGGTGGCCCCCATTGTTGCTGCATGCAGTCCAGCGGGTGAAGAACCGCTCGTTCGTGCGTACTCCCTCACGCGGAAGGTGATTCTTGACTTCCCCAGTACTTTGTCGTGCGCGGCGTTCTTCGGTAAGAGCCAGACCATTGGTAAGACTGTGTACCAGAACCCGATTGATAACCTTGGCTGGGAGCTCCGCGTGCGTCGTGACTTGCCCCCCGCTAGCCGTAAGTCGTTCTACTACCTGGGACAGACTCGTGCGATCATCGGGAAGGTCTTGGGGGAGAAAGGTTTCCAGGTGGGCAGCAACGGTCTCGGCGGTCAGATATACGGTTTCATTGCGGCAGCGCACCCAGTGATTCTTGCGAAGGTCACAGTCCGCGAGCGTGGTCGCCCTGAACTCGTTCTGATTCCTGAGGCCCTCGGAACGTTCGGAGTAGGTGAGCACGCTGGCTGCATTGCAACCCTTTTTGATCAGATTCGGCCCTTCGTGTGAGGGCCCCAGTTGTCCTGGAGCTCCCCGCCTCGGGATTCCTAGTGCGCTGCCTGGCTATTTTTGTCGGGTCCCTGGCGGTTCGGGCCCCCCCTGGGGCGCGGGGCCTGTCGGGGGAAACCATCGGACCCGTGTGCCGACTAGCCAGGATGGTGCTCAGTCAGCCAACCAGTGTTTAAATTTGAATTCAGGCGGACCGTTTACCCCTGGTGACCCGTCCTCTGGAGCGAACGGGGTGTTTGCTCCCTCTTCTGCGCTTACCTTGTGCTCTTGGAATACTCGTGCTCTCTTCTCATCGTACTCTACTTCGTCTCCACTGGCAGCTCGGCGGTAGAAGCAGATGTATGGTCTTGTTGGCAGGTTCGACGCTGTGTGTTTACAGGAGACTCATGGCACAGTGTCTGATGTGGAGATGTTACAGCGTGATGACCGTTGTCGCAGTGCAATTGTTCACCATTCGGTGATCGATCCGAGTGCTGGGGGCGGTGTGGTTACAGTTATATCGAGTAAACTGGCGTCGCAGTTCGAATCGATCACTCCGTTTCCGTTGATTGCTGGCCGAGTTCTCGCCTCGCACCTGAAGGGGCGTCGTGGGGACCTAGTGATTGTCAATGTTCACATGCCGAACACTTCGGGTCCAGTTGAGATGTATCGCAGGTACCTGTGTGTGATTCAGGCGTTCCTTCCATTGGCTGCGCACACCATGTGCTTGATTGCTGGGGATTGGAACTTTATGGAGGTGGAGGAGGGGCGGTTTCGGACTGACGGCACATGGCTAGCAGGGGATAGGGGACACACGGATGCCTTTCAGTCTATTTGTGGGTCTTGGGCTGAGCTTTTCCAACCAGATCCGACACGGCGTGATGTGTGCCAGGGAGAAGTCCGTGGGGTTGCCCGTCTGGACCGCATCTACACTTCTCTCTCGGCCCCCGTCTTGAATGATTTGGCGG